GATCCCGGTGTTTACATACAGGAACGGGTTATTGGTGGTTCCTTGGCACAGCGATATACACCCTGCAACCCCTTTGCCCCTGGCAGCTCGCAGCTGCGCACGATACTCGATCAGTGGCCGGTATTTTTATTCGCAGATTTTAAGGTCACTTGTTGCTTGTTTAGTTATGTCGGCGTACACACGTTCAGTCAACACGCGCGCGCACACACACCCAGGTGGAGCGTGCGTGCAAGAAGAGACGTGGATGTGGCGGTGTACGTTCTACGTATCGCGACACACGTGGATAAAGCGCCGGCAGCATCGTGTGGGAGGCGTTCCACGTGTGGGATCGTGTGTTGTATACGTGCCATCGGACCGATAGGTGGACGCCCTGTCGATTTCATTTGTACCCCTCCCACGGCGATCCGGCGACCGAGCCGGGGGTAGAGGGAAAATAGTGGTGGGGGGAACGGTCCACTATTTTTTTTCCCGGTTTTTTGCTCCCTTTGTACGGACCGCCCGGGTTTCACGTTGCGGTTTTTTTTGCGCAGCTTTCGCTAGTCGAACGCTGTGACGTACTTCTCCGTTGCGCCACAACAACAACAACAACAACAACAACAACAAAAACGGCAACAACGTATCATTCGCGGCGCTTTCCTTTTGCCGCCTTTTCTTTGTCTTCGCGCTTCTTCTTTAGGACGTCGTTCCGTTTCCACGATTTGTGTTCTCTTCTTTTTTCCTTTTTTCTTACAGAGTCTGCCGGTGTTCATTCGCCGTTCGTGCCTCTGTAGGGTGTAAAAGGTGCCGAAGGGACGATGAAATCGAGGGTGTTTTCTTCTTTTACGTTGATACGATCGGAAATGTTTGTTGAAACGAGTTACTTTTAAGGTACATTTCGATGCACCTTGTAATTTTTATACTTTTGCAAATATTATTTCAAGTTTTCTTTTCTCTCCTCCCTTGTACATCGCGAAAACTCTTTGACCGAATTTACAGCTTGCAGAAGCTGTTCATCCTCGCGAGTTCGTCTTGGAACTTAAAGAAACGCGGGACGTCATTTCCCTGTGCAAATCACAGGCAGAAATTCTAAATTGACCTTCGGCAACCGTATGTAATTGGCCTGAATTACGATCCCGCGCTGTCCGACAGTAGATGTTTCGCTCGGTTTCGCGGAAATCGAATATTCGCCAGGAGGGCGGGAAGCTCGAGCACTGTTCCCGTGCCAGCTACGAAGAAAACGCATTGAAAAATCGCCAAGTTGATGGAGTTTACACACAGGATAGCGGTATATTTGTAAGCTCGTTCACGTTAATTAACGTCATTTTGCTTTTAATCGCGCGGGAAAGCCAAACAATAAGAGTC